GCGCAACATCGAGGGCCGAAGGGCCTGTACTGCGCTGTAATGTTCTATGTTCTAATGTTCTATGTTCTATCTCTGCATCTGAATCTCCAAGTATCTTTGGACATCCACTGTATTTAACTTCATACCTTTTAGAAAACAGTCTGATTGATCCTTTTTCAATACAAGATGGATAACATCACACTTGCTTACGTTGAACTCCATATGCCACAGTTTCACCCATTCACTTAATCTATCAATATCCCTTTGTAACTTTATGCTATCATCTACACTGTCTACAATGCTGCATAACTTCGAGTCAATCTGCAAATCATAGAATAATAGAATCCCTACAGCGTGGAAGCAGGCCATTTCGGCCCATCAAAGTCCATGCTGACCCTCCGAAGGGCATCCTACTCAGACTCACCCCCCTGCCCTATCCCTGTAACTCTGCATTTCCCATGGCTAATCCATCGAGGCTGCACATTCCTGGACATTATGGGGCAATTTGGCATGGCCTTTCCACCTAAACTGCATGACCCTGGACTGCGGGATCTGGATATCTGACTTTCTCTGCCATTATCCCAGTCTTTAATAAATAATATGAATAACTGAGGCCATAACACAGATCCTTCTGGGACGTCACTGGTCACATCCTGCCAATTTGAGTACCTACTCTTGATTATAGACTCCAACAACATCCCTTTTCCTGGATGTTAGGCTGACTGGTCTGTAATTCTCTGATTTTCCTCTTGTGTCCTTCTAAAAAAGCAGGGTGATGTGCAAAAAGTGGAGTTACATTAATACTGAGCACCATCAGTCTGCAAATCCAGTAAATGCTGCAATCGATAACACAGTTTACTCAGAGCAATGTCCTGAACACTTAGAAGTGTGAATCCTTTAATCAACTGGACCATAGAATCAAATACAACAGTAACACATTTGGAAATGTTGCAAATGAATATGATCAATTATTAATACTTTTAAAATAATTATGCCAGCTATGAAACTTTACCAAATGTCATTGCTGTCTCTGGAAAGATAAACAAATCACAACCATGGTTTCATTTACTTGATGAGGTATTGATATGAGTACATTAAACAGGGGCTTCAGACAAGATGCATATATGTCTGATGACACTTGTTAAAGGAAGCATTGTTTTAAAGAGGGAATTCATCACATCACCTCATTAAATTGTACAAATTTAATAGAAGAACTGAGAAATACATTTCTTGGCTTCAATACACATGAACTAGAAAAAGGCAGAATTCCAGAAACATCTAATTTAGTTTCACCCTGATATGCTGTCTCCAAAATGCACACCTTCACCTAAATTACAGAGAACACTAATGCTAGTTTCTGAGGAAGTGTCACCGGATCCGAAACATTAACTCTGTTTTTTCCTTCATAGTTGCTGCCAGACCTGCTGGGCTTTGCCAGCAACTTTGTTTTTGTTCCTGATTTACAGCATCCGCAGTTCTTTCGGTTTTTACTAATGCTAGGGGACTTGGCAGATCCTATTTGGTGTCATGAAAAGGTTCAAGAGGATATGATGGGACTGGAGAATGAACAGATAGGTGGTAGAAAGAGTTCACAAAGAACAAAGAAAATTACAGCACAGGAACAGGCCCTTTAGCCCTCCAAGCCTGCGCCGATCCAGATCCTCTATCTAAACCTGTCGCCTATTTTCCAAGGATCTGTATCCTTCTGCTCCCTGCCCATTCATGTATCTGTCTAGATACATCTTAAATGACGCTGTCGTGCCCGCCTCTACCACCTCTGCTGGCAACGCGTTCCAGGCACCCACCACCCTCTGCATAAAGAACTTTCCAAGCGTATCTCCCTTAAACTTTTCCCCTCTCACCTTGAAATCGTGACCCCTAGTAATTGAGTCCCCAACTCTGGGGAAAAAGCTTCTTGCTATCCACCCTGTCTATACCTCTCATGATTTTGTAGACCTCAATCAGGTCCCCCCTCAACCTCCGTCTTTCTAATGTAAATAATCCTAATCTACTCAACCTCTCTTCATAGCTGGTGCCCTGCATACCAGGCAACATCCTGGTGAACCTCCTCTGCACCCTCTCCAAAGCATCCACATCCTTTTGGTAATGTGGCGACCAGAACTGTATGTAGTATTCCAAATGTGGTTGAACCAAAGTCCTATACAACGTGGAGAAGTGTGAGCCAGTGCATCTGGAAGGGAAATGCAAACATTTATCTAATGGGAAGATTGTGAGGTGTGAATGGATAGAGAGACTGAGACATCAAAGTACAAAATTGCTAAGGGGACTGTATTTCAAAAAAAAAAGCACAGGTTCCAAAAGTTACAGATAAATTTGTATGAACTGTAGGCCACACAACATTATGAACTGTTTTAGAAGCCCTATAATTGAAAAGCGATTGAAACTGTAGAAAATATACAGCATCAGTTCCCAGCATGATCCCAAGGCTAAGAAACTATACTGGGGATGAAAGAGGCTTGAGATCACAGGACTATTTTCACTCTGAATTCTCAACGCTACCACTGTTTCTTTTACTTTCTCCAATTCCTTATGTTTTCTCTTTGTTCACACATTCCCACTTTCCTGATCTACGCTCACTCTTGCCCCATTTGTCAACTGAATGTGATTGACTTTCACTGGGGCCTTGTGAATGCTCACTTGCCACTGATGTCAGACCGATGAGAAGCCTGGAAAAAAGTAGCAGCGAGGAGGCATCACAAATGGGAAAAGACCTAAAATCTGTTCTGCATGGAATGTTCATCTCTTGGGGAGGAGCAGAGGATATATTTTCAACCTGGGGGAGAGCAGCGGGTCAATATTACGAATGTTGTAGAATGTAGGGGAGGCGGGTATTGTGATTTATTTTCAAATTGTGGAATTTGAGTTCACATGTTAGACGTTTTATTTTAAAGGGATAAACATTACATAGGACATCAGGAGAACTCCCATCACCTTCAGGTAATGTCATATGATCCACTTGTTTTATCACATAACTTGTAGTTGAAAGGATGGAATTCAGTAATTCCTCAGTATTGCACTGACATTATATTCACGTCTCAGGCTTAAACCTTCTGACTCTGAGGAGGACTGACACTGCACTCATGCACAGAAACCTGAAAACCCAACACATCTTGGTTCATGTACATAGAGTGATGAGGAACAGTCGAGGGGAATTCAACACATGTCCAGAAGATAAACAACAGAAGTTTTATAGGACAAAAACAGAAGTTGCTGGAAAAGCTCAGCAGGTCTGGCAGCATCTGTGAGGGAAATATCAGAGTTAACGTTTCGGGTCCGGTGACCCTTCCTCAGAACGGAAGTTTTATGCGGCCCATCTCACACACCTTCCCAGAGGAAATTGGAGTCTCCCTCAATTACAGTAAATGATGGTGAGATTTTGCTTCTATTGCCTGACTCAGAAAACTACACTTAACCAAGGTTTTCATGAGGTGCATTCTGGTGTCAGCCTTATCCATCAGTTTTATACCTGTGCCTCTGTATCTTAAAGTTGTGAGTCATCTTGAAATTAGCATTTTCCACTCCACCTAATGTCTTACAAACTGATAGGCTTTAAGTCATCCATGATGGCTGGTTAGATAACTTGCTATCTAAGCTGGTGCGCCAATCTAGTAAAACAAACTGGAAAGTGTATAGGATCAACCCTACCTGGTCAAAAAGGTAGACAGTGACGTCATCGTAGAAAGACACGGCTTTTTTCTTTCGGTCAAGATCATCACAAAAGGTCTCACACACTAAATTCGGCAACTTGAGAAGACTTCTTAGATTCTTCCCATCATCTTTCTCTGTTACAATAATGGGAACAGTGGGAAGTTCTTCCTCACTCTCTTCACTGTGTTCCTGAATGTTATAGATGCCAAGTTCTTCATCGGAGTCATCACTTTCATCATCATCCTCATCCTCTTCGTCTCCTTCTTCCCCATCAAAGCCCTGTCTGGGTTCTTTCTTAAGACCTAATAAAGGGAGCTCCAACGACAACTGAACTGACTGTATTTTGGGAACAATGCAGCTCTCCAACTTTTCTTCAATGTTCAAGGAATACAGTTGGAACTTCCTTGTCTCAACATCAGTGCACTGGAGCCCAACTGTTTCGCTACATTGCTCAGCTAAATGTTCTTCCAGTATCAATTCTGTGCCATCAAAGATGCAGCCTGACGTTTTGTGAGGGTACCCTTTCTTACGTGAAGATACCTGTTTCTTTAGGAGAATGTTTTCTGAATTGCAGCTGCTTTGAAAAAATCCATCATTGTTCTTCGAATTGGAGCAAGCTGCTTCATCTAATATCTGCTTACAAACTAAATAGTCAGCTTGAATCGCTTTCTCACCATTCTCAGTTTCTAAGTCCTGCTTGTGAGATCCCTCATTTATTACAGAACTACTGAATTCTGATCCCTGTTTGGGTTCTGCTTCTGCCAATACTGGGTTATTAGGTATAGGGTCCATCTGTTTTTCAATGAGAATAGAAACCTCTGCAGAGGCTTGACTGCTCGCTAAACCCTCTGCAGGATCATTAGGTAACTTTTGGATCAAATTGCAATGCTCTAAATTTCTCCCTGCAGTCTTCAGGCTTTCAGTTTGCTGCAGGTCAGTCTGGTTGTGAGTCTGTGAAGAACCCAAGTACACACAATCAACATCTTGTAAAGGACTATCTGTGAGGTCGCCTTCATTCAGTTCAATCTCATCTTCCTCGAGGTCATCCTTCTCTGAATCTAAGGTTTGGTATCTTTCAGACTCAGCATCATAGTCTGAGAAATACGCCGAGTCCCTGTAGGGATTTTTTTCGTCAATGCGCTGTGGCTTAGAGTCTTGTGACATTTCAATGCCATCACTGCCCACCTCCAGTACAGTAACATTACTGGGTTTGCTTACTTTGGGGAACAGCTCAGGGTCCTTCTGTTCAACTGGTTCCTTCAAGACAAATTCCGGGGATTCAAAATTCTCCGTGTCATAGCCACTGTCTGCAGCCTTTGGCTGGAGTGACGAATAATGTGACGTCGGACTATACATTTCACAGGAACTAGTTGTCGATGGGATGTCGAGAGACTCCAGGGAATCTGGAGTCCCCACAAGTTTCTGCAGAGATTTGTGAGAGAGAACAAGATCACTGCTTTCGTAGTCCTGTGTTAAGTCTGTGAATACTCCTGATGTGATATCTGTTTCATCCTCATCACTGCACCCATCTGTTCCAGCAAAGCTTACACTGGAAAATGTCTTTATTGGAGAGCTGTCAAGCTCTTTCGATTCTACATCAGATGAAAAGCAATTGTCACTTTTCTCAGCTGTTTCAAACTGGGGAGAGCTTGCAAAGTCCCTCACTGCAGTTTCCACCTGATATGTATCACTGACCATTTCCATTTCTGAAAGAATGGCATTGCTCTCTCTGACTTCTATTTCAATCTTCAGTTCAGTTGGATTATGAATCTCTTCTCTATCAATCTTTAATTGATCCGTTTCTTGAACAATGACATCCAATTGATCATTCACACTGGCTACGTCTGTATCTGGTCCAGGTAAATTCATTTCACTACTGTCCATCTGGATCCTGGTTTTATTATAGATACCAGGGGCAGAACTCTTCACAGCCTGGCCAAGTAAAGGGTCCACAAGGTCTTCGCTTCTCGAAGATTGTAATCTATCAGAAATGAGACTATGATTTTCCTCTTGCTGGGCTATGTTGTGTAAAGTAGTGGAGAGTGACTGATCAAAACTTTGACTGTCCTGATCAACTTCTTTGTACTTAGCCTTCCAGTTACAGTGCCCATTCTCTGTTTCGGTCGAATGAATCTTTGTGGAGTTGTGTGTGTCTGCTGTGTGACATAAAGAGAGAAGCACAACACTTCCCACCTTTTGCAGGTCTGGTTCTGAAAATTCTGTTTGAAATAATTCTGCGCCAATATTTGCCTGCTCGAGCGACTGTTTTGTTAAATCCATATTGTTGTTATTTAGGAAATTACTGGATTCCCATGATTTTATCCCAGAAAGAAAGAGGTTTTCGTCTTCAGATGTTGTTCCCTTTCTGGATGGCAGACCAGCTGGTGAAGGGTCACCAACTGCAATTGTTTTTACACAGTCCAAATCATCGACTGAATGTAACATTGTATTTACAGAAGGTGCAGAATAATTAAACACTTCAGCAGCTGGTGATTGACAAGTTCTATCTGATTCAGTTTCATCCAGTTCGTGATAAGATGTTACGAGTAAGGAAGTGGAATCTCTCAAGGAACTTGTTACCAAAGGAGATATTCCCAAAGGGTCATCATTACTGTTTTCTCCAGCACTCTGTACTTTCCAGTTGTTACTATTTTCAGAGTCGTTCTCTAACAAATATTGATTAGCATCATCTACCGTGAATTGTTCGTAGTATGTTTGGCTCTTATTCTTGCTAAAATATTGACTGTCTTCCCAGGAGTCTTGGGTTGCTGATGATACCTGACCCAAAAGGGGTTCCATGGTCAAGGATAAAGTCGGGCTGTTCTCACAATCATCTATATTGTCCCTTCCTTGTAATCCTTGCCAAGACGATGACTCCACGTGCAAGCTTGGATCATACTCCGGGCTATAGGAACACATTGTATAATCCAGGTCCATATTGCACTCAGTCGGTTCCTCTATCCGTATGTAGTATTCTCCAGTTACAGAAGGGCTATGCGCGCTGATCACTGGTACAATGCCTGGCGGCTGCAGATTCTGTGGCATGTTAGACTGCTGCTTCGATTCATAGAAGGAGTTGGAGGAGACGGGCGAGACACTCAAACTCAACCTTCCCGACGCACTGTTAGGGAAGTAGATCTCTTGATACTGGGTGGTGCCGTGGGCCAGGCCAGCCGTAGATGGTGGAAAGTTGTCCATTTGAGTGTGGTCCCACTTATATTCAAAGTTAAGGCCTTGACTTGTCTCAGTCACCGTCAGCACATCATCCACCTCAGTATGATAGCCATTGGTTCCAAACTGCTCCAGGAGGGGAAAGGAAGACACCTCAGCTGTGTGGCTGGTGCTGGAGCCACTCGGTTTCATTGCATTCCAGCGTTTTTCAAACTCTTCCTCTGCCTCACTGGATGCTTTTGCACAAAGGTAACTGAGAAGCAGATGCACTTCATCTGCTGTGGGTCTTTGGTCTGGTTGCAGCCAACAGAACTGCATCACCTCGTACCTGTGACCAACAATGAGAGGATTAAAAAATGGCTGTGGTCTTGGCGATACAAATAAGTGCATTTCCGCAAAGACTATACTTTGCTTAGAGATAGGAATTAAAGGATAATTTCAAAAAAGCAAAAGGTGGCACAACTATTTGTGGCGACAGAATCTATTTTTCAAACAATTTACAGCTTATGAAGACCGATATTTAGAATGCATAAGTTAGAGTATCACTGCAATTTAGAGCAGCTTATCAATTACAAATCATGTTGTTAGACATCTAGTTCTAGTGTGGTTGTAAACGGTAGTGATTTATAAAGGTGAAATTGTACCTGGAATCTGTACGGAATTAAGATTAGAATCCCTACAGTGCAGATAGAGGCCATTCAGCCCAAGAAATCTGCACTGACCCTCCAAAGAGCATCCTACCATCCCCATCCTATCTCCATAACCACAAATTTACTATAGCATAACCCATCTAGCCTGCACATCCCTGGACACTACAGGACAATTTAGCACGGCCAATCCACCTAACGTGCACATCCTTGGATGGTGGGAGACAACTGGAGCGCCTGGAGGGAACCCACGGGGCGGAACGTGCAAACTTCACACAGACCGTCACACGAGGGTGGAATCAAACCTGGGTCCCTGGCTTTCTGAAGCAGCAGTGATAACCACTGAGCCACTATGCCACCCATTAGGCTCTGTTCGTGTTATAAAATAATTATCATTGTGTAACTCTTGAAAAGCTATTAGTTGCTGGTTGGTTCCTGAATCAGCAAACAAACTGTATATACAAACAGTGAAGATGTTGACATACCATCGGTCAGACAGTGGCAGGTTCAGCAAGGGTTTTGGCAGTTTCAGCTGCTGTTCTTTTATAGCATACGTCAGCACCTCCTTATCTGAACACTGGTGATAGGGCTGGTTACCAAATTCAAACAGTTCCCATAAAGTTACACCCAGGGACCTGTGTGTAATAATAAAACAAAACACTATGAAAACAAATCTAGAATCACAGGAAAGAGACAGTCACAATCCTTACAAATCCCCAGCATTCTCCCCTCCAGACAGTCAGAGGAATCTTCACTTTCAATCTTCTTAAGTTCTCTGCTTTGAAGGCTGGTGCCACCCCCTAATACCACAGACCCCCCACCATCGTCAGGGCAAGGAGGGAGGTCACAAACCCATCCTGGTCAGAACAGTGATCAAGCCCTGAGCTGGTGACACCAATCTGTGCCACACTGTCTCTTCAGCCAACTGATCCCACCAGCTTCCCCAAGTTAGTGCAGTTCCTGCGGTTTTATATACACATTGTAGCCCAGAGCTACAATTAATAATGGCAGAGGGTCCACTGTCCTTTCCATCACATGGCTGGATAGGAATCTCCCCAAATCTTCCTGCCTGCCACTGATTTACAGGTTGATATGCAATCTGTCTGGCTGATCACACCTTCCTTGAACATCAGGTCCTACAGTGGGACTTGAAATGAGGACTTAACTGTGCAACAAGAGCTCCCCACCTTCAATCAGGTTTTACTTATTCATTTACAAGCTGTGATTCTATGATTGTATGTGGGGGTCGAAAGCAAGGCTAGCATTTATTATCAGTCAGGAGGTGGTGGTGAAAGCTGAGATTCCTGCTTGATGGACCCTGCCAAAATTCCTCACTACCGGCAGAAAATATTTGCCAGTAAACTGGTGCTGATGATGCCTCATTTGCTACATTTCTCCTGTTGTCACTGAGTTGACTGTTTCAGTGAGTTCCACTTTGCTTTAAGTAGTTGACACCAGTGGAAAGTAACTTTTGAAGGATGCGGCAGTGGCATTAAGATGAAAGAAACTGGAGGATGCTCAAACGAGTCAAAGCTTCTTGAAGACATTGCAAGTTGCTGCACTGCAACCTCAGTGTAAAATCAATGCATGAAAATATAAAGAATCAAGGAATTTTTTTAAACAACGTTAGAAGCTTTTATGGCATTCCTTCAGCAAACCTGCTGTGTTTTGATGTGGAGAACGAAGGGGTTAACAGAGTTGTTGCTTATGATCACTGCAGTTCAAAATGTTCTGTCTTGGGCCTACTCAGAACAACATTTCCCCATCAGTTTCTTGTATCGAGTCTCAGCTCTTCTCTCTTGAGAATGGTATCTCATGTTGCTGCTTAGGGGTAACGTTCTGGCAGCATCTCTTCAATAACTGGGATCTACTTTGTATTTGAGGCCAACTAATGCAACCACCTTCCTGTCAGATCACCTTCCTGACCACTGTTAGACATGGCAAGGTGCAGAAACTCACTTAGCCTGTCCCAAAGCTGAGAATTATTGTAATTAAAATAAATGTGAAAAATGCATTTTTCTTAAATGAAAGAAAGAACTGAAGTATATCCTAGTAAATTATGAAAATATGAAACCAAAAATGAAAGAATGCCAGAAACAAAAACAGAAATTGCTGGAGAACCTCAGGAAGCCTGGCAAAATGTACAGAAAGAAAGCACAGTTCACAGTTCGAGGCCAGAGACTTTTCATCAGAACTGAATGTAGTTAGGAAAAGGTAGTATGTAAGTTGAAGAAGGGAGTGGGTAGGGGAGAAAAGGAGTGAGTGGATAGACAGAGAGAGAGAGAGAGAACGGCAGTTAGGCAGATGAAGAGATGGATAAGAGTGGGCCAGGGAGAAAGAAGAGCTGATAATGGAGATCTTAAGTAGGCGAGAATGGGCTGGATGTTCTGAAAACAGCCCATGTTAGAATGTTACTTAGAAATCTATATCAGGTCTGAATCACACAGCAACACAGGACTAGTATTCAAAGTTGTAGATGGTGGAATAATTCAAATATCCAAGCAATGAAATCTCTAAGGTTATGATTTGGCAGCCTGATTAGCACTGCTGCCTCACAGCGCCAAGGGCCTGGGTTCAATTCCACCCTCAGGTGACTGTGTGGAATTTGCACATTCTCCCTGGTTTTCACCGGGTGTTCCGGCACAGTCCAAAGATATGCAGGTTAGGTCGACTGGCCATGGGAAATTGCCCAGGGGATGTGTAGGCTAGGTGGGTTAGTCATGAGAAATACACAGATGGTGTGGGTGGGATATCCTTTGGAGGGTCAGTGTGGACTCGATGGGCTGAATAGCTTGCTTCCACACTGTAGGGATGCAACAACTGAAATATGTATGTGTAACTGCGCAAGAGATAAGGAGACAGTTGATACTCTCCATGTACTGGTTTTCAGTGCACTCTGACAGATATTTTGGGATTCAGTTCTTGGTGGGAGGCTGCGAAACAATGTTTAGATCAAATCCGTCACTTGTTTTGAATATTTAATCAGTGGCTTTCACTGAAGAATTAACCACACACAAAATAGTGTGGGGATGTTTTTGTGTGTGCGTGTGGTACATAAGGGATAGGTATTTCACAGGAATCACAAGTAAACTGATACAGGAAAGCACTTTATGTGCTAAGTTAGTGTCATAGATACCTACAGCATGGAGACAGCCCCTTCGGCCCAAATAGGTCCATGCCAACCAAAATGTCCATCCACGTTAAACCCATTTCTGTACACTTGGCCCATATCCTTCTAGACCTTGCCTCTCCATGTATTCGTCCAAATGCGTTTTAAATGTTGTTAATGTACCCGCCTCAACCACTTCCACTGGCAGATCATTCCATATGTGTACCACCCTCTGTGTAAAAATGTTGCCCCTCAGGTTCCCATGTATTCTTTCCCCTTTTATCTTAAACTGATGCCCTCTCGTCCACAATTCCCCAACTCTGGGAAAAAGACTGCGTGCATTTACCCTATCCATGCCTCTCAGGATCTTATACACTTCTGTAAGATCCCCCTCAGTCTCCTATGCTCTAAAGAAAGAAGTCCTAGCTTGTCCAACCTCTCCCTATAACTCAGTCCCTCGAGGCCTGGCAACAACCTTGTAAATTTCTTCTGCACTCTTTCCAATTTAATAACATCCTTCCTATAGCAAGGTGACCAAAACTGAACACAATACTCCAAGTGCGGCCCCACCAACGTTCTGTACAACTGCAATATAATTTCCCAACTCTGTACTCAATGCCCTGACTGATGAAGGCCAGTGTGCCAAAAGCTTTTTCACTGCCCTGACTACCTGTAGCTCCACTTTCACAGCACCTGCTGTCCAAGGTCTCTCTATTCCACTACACTCCTCAAGGCCCTACCATTCACCATGAAGTTCTTCAATAATAAAACGTACAGGTCTTGATATTCCCAATCTGTGAATACATTTTCCTGCTTTAGGTTTGTATTTCTCACACATTTGCAAGTTTTCTCTGAAATAATAGTGTATTTCACAGTATTCCCATGTTGTGGACAGATCTACAATGTTATCAGTGCAAATGATTGTCAGTCAACAACGGGAACAGACTCCTGTTGTGATTTCTCTCTGCTACAGATTGAGTACTCCATCAGGATTTATCATGTATCGGTCAGTTAACACCCAGGAATCCTAACCCTAAGCAACAGCTCAGGTGAAATGCTCATTAAGGTTTGGATTGAAATCCAGGTCCCTAGTTTGAGAGTCTGAGGTGAGTGTTGGGATCAATGGGCTTAGGCAAAAAGAAAATAAAGTCACTTTTGTTCTAATTTCTCACCACCCCCTTAACCTCCAACTTCCCTACAGGTAAAGCATGCTCTCCGAGGTAAGGGGAAGATTCTGCTTATTGCCAGCTTCACTTTGAGATGAGGTTAAGCACGAATATAGTTCCTCCTATTACAGCCATAGTCATTGAGATGTACAGCATGGAAACAGACCCTTCGATCCAACCCATTCATGCTGAGCAGATATCCTAAATTAATCTAGTCTCATTTGCCAGCATTTGTCCCATATTCCTCTAAATCCTTCCTATTCATTTACCCATCCAGATGCCTGCAATTGTACCAACCTCCACCACTTCTTCTGGCAGCTTATTCCATACACACACCACCCTCTGCATGAAAAAGTTATCCCTTAACTCCCTTTTAAATCTTTCCCCTCTCACCTTAAACCCAAGCCCTCTAGTTTTGGACTCCCCTACCCTGTGGAAAAGATCTTGTCTAACGATCCTATCCATGCCTCTCATGATTTTATACATGTCTATAAGGTCACCCCTCAGCCTCTGACGGTCCAGGGAAAATAGCCCCAGCCTATTCAGCCTTTTCCTTATAGCTCAAACCCTCTGATCCTGGCAATATTCTTGAAAACCTTTTCTGAATCCCTTCAAGTTTCACAACATCTTTCCTAGAGCAGGACGACCAGAATTGCACACAGTATTCCTACAGTAGCCTAACCAACGTCCTGTAGAGCTGCAACATGACCTCCCAACTCCTATACTCAATGCACTGACTAATAAAGGCAAGCGTACCAAATGCCTTCTTCACTATCCTGTCTACCTGCAACTATTCTACTCCATCAGTGTGCATCACCCAAATCCATGACAGAAATAATTGCTAAAGCATCAGTGTGTCACCTTATTGCAAAACAAATCATCTTCCTTACAGTTCTGAATGAAATTGCTTCCATTCATACTGATAATTAATTAAAAAAAGGATGACTGGCTCATGAACATACACGATTGGGATGAGGGAGTTGGCTTTTAGCAATATAAACCAGCAAACATGAACATCATTTATAATGATGCAAAGTGTGTTCATAAGTAATTGCTAATTGGAAAAATGCAGCTAGAGATAGGTCGATACCTTATGCCTATCCAGTTTCCTTTGACTATCTGATTTATAGGGAGCTCACTGTCACATTATAAGAATAGATTAATGTTTGGTCACTGAAAGGTGGCATTTGAACCTACTTTTTATTTTTGTATTTCAGCCAAGACTGGTAACAGGCTGAAAAAAAAGACTCATGATAGGTTACAGAGAGTGAAGGAAAAAATATAATAATTGAGACCAAAGTTTGACTCTTCATAAATAAACGAGTTGTTTTGTAATCCTCTCCAAGACTCCAATATGAACATTAGTAAACAGAGGCAATTAAAAGATGAGAGAGATTTGGCTGTGATAATGATGGATATGCTGATCAGACTGAATGAGATGTATTTTTTAATCACCAAGATAACTGATATTTATCACCTAAAGCAATATTTAGATTATTTTTGTACGTTTGGAAATACAAATCACTAGTTTAAAGAAATCTCTGTAAGGATCTGCAGAATACTAATTTGAGTTTGCTGCATGCCTTATATTTCATTCATCATCTTGTCTCTTACAAGATATCAAAATCTTCTTCCAGCTCAAAGTTAATGACATTAATTTTATCCTGAAGGTTTCTTTAAAAGCATTACGGATATACAATGTTAAACTACGCTTGGTTATGTAGATGTTAAAGATTCCATGGCAAACATTCATTCCGCATCCAATGCTACAAACAACTGATGACCTTGTCAGTCATTCATTTGCTGTTTGTGGGATCTTTCAGAGGACCATTAACTGTCTCAATGTCCACATAACAGACACCAGAATTGGACAATCAGCCCCTCGAGGCTGTACTATTGGATCTGTACCTCAATTCCATTCACCCACCTGTATTTTCCATCACAATTTTAACCTAGCAAAAGTCTATTGATCTCAGTCATGATAAAAAAAAAACTATTGGATGATGTTATCAGAGGATGTGAAACAAGGCATGGACAAACCTTGAAAAGTAAATTTGTCGGCTGTGAAGTTCTTTGGAGCACCCTGAGTATGTGAGAGCTGTCAGAGCTGTCTCTTCCTTTGCAAACCCCACCTCTGTGTGAAATCAGTGACAAACTCTTAACGGGAGACAGTCCTATCCATTAAATGACTGGCAACTTTTCACAAAGTGGCATCCATTTGGGAATCACGTTTGGGAGAGGGCACAAGAATGGTTTATGATGGGAAATGAAATGTTGAAATAGCTTCAATAATATGCCAGAATGATTTCCATTTCTATGTCCCGTTCTGTAATTATTCAGATACTCCCACTATCATCGTCACCACTTGCTTACCAGATATTACTAATCTTGGTTTGATCCACCACTAGCAGATTCCCATGAACGTCATCGATAAGCTCAGGTGCAATCCAGCGGAGTGGGATCCAGAGCTGGTCAGGAGTTACAAAGTAATCTTTCTGTTGAAAATATTAAAAAGACAATGTTCATATCACTCAGGCATCAGAGAATCCCACACCAACATTTCACAACTTTAATGGGAGTATCAGTTACTTTCAATTAAGCAATGATAAATTGATCGCTCTCCTGTCTTTTCTTTTCAATATTACACATTTGCTTGAATATCGGAAACTGGGAAGCAGTTAGATAGGATCACCAGGATTCTGTAAATACCGTAGACATCATCCACATGCAGGAAACAGCATTTCATATCACTCAGGCACCAGAGAATCCCACACCAACATTTCACAGCTTTAATGGGAGTATCAGTCACTTTCAATTATGCAATGATAAACTGATCGCTCTCCTGTCTTTTTTCAATATTACACATTTGATTGAATATTGGAAACTGGGAAGCAGTTAGATAGGATCACCAGGGTTCTGTAAATACTGTAGACATCATCCACGTGCAGGAAACAACAGCTTCAATTATGCCCTAAAGAATGTCAGAGAAGAACTTTCAACTCTAGCTTTGCAAGTCACTGCCCTCTTTCACCTCAAAGAAATCAAGGCACTTGGGGAGAGGGCAGAACTGTGAGACTGAGCTGGAAGATCTTCTTTGGTTTTATTGAGAGACTGAGCAGTCTGGCGGAGAACTAAGGCTCCACGATTGTTTTTGTAAATCCTTTTTCATGTCCTTTACAGCTGACAGCATTCCTGAGGAATGCGGAAAGTTAATAAGGAACAGTGGGAAATCAGAATATTTTAATCACCAGCAAAGATCGCTAGCATCTGCAGTAGGTATAAGTGGAGACCTCCCTAAGTATCAATGTCCCGTAAGAATCAGACAAAGCAGTTTGATCAGATGCAAACTGCTGGTCTAAGTCCAACAAGACTCTGAAGGTGGATGGATACATGTTACAATTTGATTAAGTCATAATTGTGTCCTTTTTCTCTCCTCGCAGCCTGAGACACAATTCCTTGCAATCATACAAGTGCTAGTTCTTCATGCGTGAGCTGGGCATGGAGTATCAGTCAGTGACTAGACTGTGGAGGGAAACTAGATGTTAGCTCAGAACTGTCTCTGCCCAATCTTCATCCCACACACTGGCGTTGACTCTGACATTTTGCGACAGTATAAGATGGAGAATGGCAAGACAGTGACCCAATTACATCTCCTGACACTGACCCCCTCACTTGCCCGATCCCTACTGCCATTGGCAAAGACCATTCAGGCAAATGCATTTCTGTCACCTTGTAGCATGATACCAAGATGTTAATTTGCACTTGGCCATAATTATTAGAAGATAAATGAGCAGGTGCTCCATGACTGTATTCCAAGGTACCAGTTTTACAGTACATTTCTGCAAGACCCTAATTTTGTTCACCTACTAACACTTGAAGCTTTTCTCGTGCGTCTTTCTGATCCTCAAAAATATTCCCTCTTGGTCACATTATTTTAATTGAACTACTGTAACCAAACAGCTAAAACTGGGCACTGAAAAAGAACCATCTTACCTCACAAAGTGCAGCATCACACCTCAGAAAATCAATTCCATTCATAGAATTTTTAATAATTACTCGGGGTTCTGACCTCACAGACTGTGGACCACCCCCTCCCCCCAACCCAACCCCCCCACCACTCTATATTGTGAAACTGTTGCAGGCTATTCCACAGGTTGGTTAGCTCAGTTGGCTGGATGTCTTGTTTACAATGCAGAGTAACACCAACAGTGTGGGTTCAAATCCTATACTAGTTACCAGGAAGGCCTCTCCTTCTCAACCTTTCCCCTACCTGAGGCATGGCAACTCTCAGGTTAAACTACTACTAGTCACCTCTCCCTAACGAGACAGTAGGACAATGCAAATTTACCTTTACTGATGGGACAAACACATGTAAGTCGTATCTTTCAGAATCACCTTCAATAACTAGCCACCACCAATGTCTGGCTCACAGGTCTACAGTCCCCAGGCTTCTCCTTATACTGTTTCTTAAATAAAGGCACAACATTAACCACCATCCAGTCCCCCAGCTCCTCACCCATGGTTGTAGGTGATACAAATACCACAATTTCTCCCCTAACTTCCCACAATGTCCTGGGATGCACTTGATCAGATCCCAGAGATCTATCCCACCTTTATGTTTTCTAAGACCTCCAGTACTTCCTCGTCTGTAATGTGGACAGTTTTCAAGACAGCAATATTTATTTCCCCAATTTCTCTGGCCTCCACTTCCCTCTCCACAGTAAAAACTAACACAAAATATTCATTTAGTATCTCTCTCATCTCCTGAGATTTGACACATAGACGAGAATGTTGAGACATGTTGAAGTTTGGGAATTGTGTGAGCAGGTTGGGGTCATGGTAATGTTGGGGAGACCTGTAAGAGCAGACATCAGGGAAGAGAGGACCTGTTGTGAGTGGGGCTGTGTCAATACAGTATAGAGCTGGAGGAACACAGCAGGTCAGGCAGCAGAGCAGCAGGAGAGTCAATGCTTCGGGCCTACACCTTTCATCAGGACTGGTGAAGGGTCTAGGCCCGAAACGTTGACTCTCTTGCTCCTTTGATGCTGCCTGACCTGCTGTGTTCCTCCAGCTCCACACTGTATTGACTCTGACTCCAGCATCTGCAGTTCTTGCTATCTCCTATCGGTGAGTGGGGCTGTAGTGGGAGGAATGGCCGCCTAACCACACAGTGGCCATTTTCACCTCTGAGCTTGCAACCTCACTGCTGCCTTGTGCTGCAGAGTTGTGAGTAAGAGTCATACAGGACTTGAAACATTTACTGTTTCTCTCTCTCCACAGGTTCGGCCAGACCTGTTGAGTTTCTCCAGCATTTTCTGTTACTGTTTCAGATTTCCAGCATTCACAATATTTTGCTTTGACGTGAGACTTTGCAACTCTCATCCTTCCTGGAAGCAGAGTCCTTGAAAATTTTTTACGGCAGAGGTCAATAGGATTCTCGCTCAGCGAAGGTTTGGAAGGTTATGGTTAGAGGTTTCAGTCAGAGCAGCCATGATCTCAAGGGGCTGAATGGCCTCCTCCTGAACCTTGTTTGGATTTTAGCATGTTTGTAGTGCATTCAAGATAGAGATCAATAGATTTATAGATAGCAAGGACATCAGATAAAACATGCATAGTGGGGGAATGTGGCATTGAGGTAGATGATCAGCCATGACCTGGGCTGGCAGAGTAGACTCAAGAGGACTGATTAGGGATAGTCAGCAGGGCTTTGTGCATGGGAAATCATGTCTCACTAACTTGATTGAATTTTTTGAGGAAGTAACCAAAAAGATTGATGAGGGTAGAGTGTTTACTGGACTTTAGTAAAGCCTTTGACAAGGTTCCGTATGGTAGACTAATTAGTAAAGTTAGATCCTATGGGATTCAAGGGGAGCTTGCCAATTGGATACAAAATTAACAGTAGGAGACAGAGGGTGTGGTGGAGGATCAGTTTTTCGGACTGGAAGCCTGTGACCAGCGGTGTTCCACAGGGATTGGTACTGGGTCTACTTTTGTTTGTCATTTATATAAACAATTTGAGTTACAATTTAGGAGACATGGTTAGTAAGTTTGTGGATGACACCATAATTGGTGGTATACTGGACAGTGAAGAAGGTTATCTAAGATTACAAAGAGATCTTGATTAATTGGGTCAATGGGCTCAGGAGTGTCAGATGGAGTTTGATTTGGATAAATGCAAGGTATTGCATTTGGGTAAAACAACAAGGGCAGGACTTACACAATTAACGGTCGGGTCCTGGATAGTGTTGTAGAACAGAGAGAGACCTAGGAGTTCAGGTGCATAATTCTTTGAATTTGCATCACAAGTAGACAAGGTGGTTAAGAAGGTGTTTAGTACACTTGCCTTCACTGCTCAGACCTTTGAGTTTAGGAGCTGGGATGTCATGTTGAGGTTGTACAGGATATCGGTGAGGGTTCTCCTGGAGTACTGTGTACAGATCTGGTCACCCTGCTATAGGAAAAATATTACTAAATTGGAGGGAGTTCAGAAAAGATTTACCAAGATGTTCCTGAGAATGGAAGGTTTGAGCTATAAAGGTAGGCTGGATAGGGTGGGACATTTTTCACTGGAGTGTAGGACATTGAGGGGTGATTTTATAGAGGATTATAAAATCATGAGGGGCATCAGTAAGGTGAATAGCAATGGTCTTTTCTCTAGGGTGGTGGAGTTCAAAACTAGGGGGAATATTTTTAGAGTAAGAAGAGAAAGATTTAAAAAGGACACAAGGGCAACTTTTTTTACACAGAGTGGTTCGTATGTGGAATGAACTGCCAAAGGAAGTGGTTGATTCAGGTACAGTTAAGGTTGGTAGTTCTATACCACCTTGGAACAAAGCCTCCATTTTAAGTGGCATGGTGGCTCAGTGGTTAGCACTGCTGCCTCACAGCACTAGGGACCCGGGTTCAATTCCACCCTCGGATGACTGTGTGTGGAGTTTGCACGTTCTCTCCGTGTCTGCGCGGGTTTCCTTCCACAGTTCAAAGATGCGCAGGTTGGGTGGATTGGCTATGGAGTGGGTCTCGGTGGGATGCTCTTCAGGGAGTTGGTTATGGACCCAATGGGCTGTAGGAATTCTATGATTTGGATAACTACGTGAATAGGAAAGAATATGGGCCAAATGCAGACAAGTGGGACTAGCTTGATTTGGCAACATGGTTGGCCTGGGCTAGATGGACCATGCCATATGACTGTGTGAATCTATAACGTAGAGTCACAGTTGGAGAAGGTTCAGGAAGCACTGCTCTTCACTACCTGACTGACCTAGAGACGGATATCTTGTGTCCTTTCAATAAGCCACGCCTGAAACCCCATACTCCCTCTCTGATGCTGATTAATGTGTTATGTATTGACGCTATTTTTCTGTTTTACTTTGAACAGATTTTCTTGAATTATATTTGCTCTGGGAAGGTCCCCTGCGTCACAGTTTGACTATGAGGCTGCGCGACCAACCTTTCCCAATGATGCCCTGCCAGTAGCACTTCACATTGAACAGTTTGCACAGTGAACAGTTTGCACAGTGTACAGTTTGACAGTGAACAGTTTGCACAGTGAATAGTTTGCACAGTGAACAGTTTGACAGTGAACAGTTTGCACAGTGAATAGTTTGCACAGTGTACAGTTTGACAGTGAACAATTTGCACAGTGTACAGTTTGCACAGTGTACAGTTTGACAGTGAACAATTTGCACCGTGTACAGTTTGACAGTGAACAGTTTGCACAGTGAACAGTTTGCACAGTGAACAGTCTGCACAACAAACAGTTTGTGCAGTGAATAGTTTGCACAGTGCCCCTAACTATGTGATAAGCTCTGGCTCCTCACCGTGTGTTGCCCCTATAAGCTCATGTCTTCTTGGAAAGGATCTCTCATGGAATTGATTGGGTGAGGCAATGGCCTTGTTGTATAATTATCTACAGACTATTAATGTTGTGACTCAGCTAGTGTCCTGGGTCTGGGGTTTGAATGCTGCCATAGCAGACGATGGAATTTGAATGCAATAAAAATCTAAGAATAAAGAATCTAATGATGATCATGAAATGATTGTTGGGGAAAACCCAACTGGTTCATTAATGTCCTTTAGGGAAGGAAACTGATGTCCTTTTCTGGTCTGGCCTACATGTAACTCTAGATCCACAGCAACGTGGCTGTCTCTTAACTGGCTTCTGGGCAATAAATGCTGTTCTAGACAGTTATACCCATATCCTGTGAATGAATTAAAAACATTGGGAAACAAGAGCCAGACATAATCTTTCAACCTTCTGACATTTTCCAACATTTAGCAACAAGAAAGCATGGCCAAAGATTACATTGGACACAGCTCAAATGTACTTCCAATTCTTCATTCCTTACGTCTTTACCTTGTATTTATTGTGGGAAAGTCCATAGTCTCCAATTTTAACAGTCAGGTCCGCAGACAGCAAGCAGTTTCGCAGGGCCATGTCACTGAACAAAGCAGAACCACAGCTATTACTGTATAATAACAGATGAAAACACCTACAGTCTCATTGCTAGTCAATTATAGCCAATTCTCCTCATCTGCTCTTCTGGAATACTGTGTCCAATTCTGGTAACCCTGTTATAGGAAGGACACTACTAAGCTGGAGAGGGTTCACAAATGATTTACCAGGATGTTGCTAGGAATGGACGGTTTGACTTATAAGAAGAGGCTGGATAGGCTGAGACTTTTTTCACTGGAGCACAGGAGGTTGAGGAGTGACCTTACAGAGGTTTATAAAATCATGACAGGCATAGATAAAGTGAATAACAAGCATCTTTTCCCTAAGGTGGGGAGTTCAAGACTAGGGGGCCTATTTTTAAAGCGAGAGGAGGAAGATTTAGAAAGACTTGAGGGGCAACTTTTTTACACAGTGAGTGTTCGCATGTGGAATGAACTTCCACAGGAAGTGGTGGATGTGGGTACAGTTACAATGTCTAAAAGTCATTTGGATAAGTATATGAATAAGAAATGTTTGGAGGGATATAGGCCAGGTGTGGGCAGGTGGCACTAGTTTAGTTTGGGATTCTGGTCAGCATGGATTGGTTGGACTGAAAGGTCTGTTTCCATGCTGTATGACTCTATGACTCGACAACTTTGATTCCTGAAGACCTTGGTAAAGTATGGTAATATAGGTATCAAATGACCATTTGTTACACGAAGGTACGAAAGATTAGTTGGTCCAACTCCCAACACAGTATCATGGAGGCTGGGTCTATTGTTGGTTAGGAGTCTATTCGAGCTGGCCTAGCTCTGCATTCAGGGGGTAATAGTCCAGCAGGAAGTGGTTGTGTAGCAATCCAGAGCAAAAGCAAGTGTGCTCTGGATCTGGGGAGTCTGGTGTCAACCTTTAGCAGTTTCACCCTTCGTAGCAGAGATCAATTTTTCCAAAGTAGGCCACCATTGAACTGGGATGTTTCCAATGACAGGAATTGACCAGAATAAACTTGCCGGAACACTAAGCAGCAAATTTATATTGTTTTTAATATTAAGAAAAGAGACATGCTTCAAAGTGGTTCGTCTTGCACTCATCAGGACAGAGCTGCAAGAATGCCAAATCTCAAATAGAACAATTTATAGTGTATGTGAAGAGACCTGGCTGGTTGGCAAGTGTCCTCTGATTAGTAGAATGCTTATGAAGGAAGTATCAGACGCAGTTAACTGCTAATCTTTTGTTTCAATTCAAACTCGTCACAACACAGCATGGCAAAGCCTCGACCAATCGGAGTTCACTTGCCAGCCAATCAGCACCCTCGTCTCATGCGGTAAAAAATGTTATTCCCTTTAAGATTTGGCATTCTTGCCATTCTGTCCTGATGAATGCAAGGTGAATATCTTTGACAACATGTTTCAGTTGTTTTTCAGTAATGCTCAATTTCTATGCTACCAAGTGAATATCTGCTTATAAATATTCCAAGCTGAGGGAATTTTCCTTTTACTTGGAAAGTCCATTTGATGGGAATGCCTACAAGTTGGTTGCAATGCTTTAGCTGACCAGGCCTGTGTCACTCTGTCTGATGCAATGCATTGAGTTTGCGATGGGAAGCGAAGTGTTTCCTCGTGTCATTTGGAAGTTGTTACTTTGCTGTGCTCTAGCCCAGGGATACGGAGCAGAGGGATATGATGGCAGTGGAAGCACATGACTTCTGTCTAGTACATTGTACCATGAACCACAGTGACATTAAAACAGATGGTTACGGCGCAGAAGAACGTTGTAAGCCTCTTGTCTGCCCTGTTGGCTGACAATCCCACTGCTCCAACCTCGCTCAATAAATTCCTGTTTCAATGCTGCCATAAAAGACACCATTGTCTGTACCACAAGCAGAACAATCCGAGGTAAACAATCAATGCAAAGGTACTTCTGCTTCTCACGTTATCCCTGACAGCCATTGACCAAACGCTAGGACAAAGGTGGAAAGAGGTTGTAATGGTCGGAAGCTGTGGAGAGATTCACCCGTGGAGCTGAGCAGCTGGCTGTCCTACTGGCGAAGCTGGTTCGACACGGTGTTGGCTGTGGCTCAGGCAGTGGGCACAGAGAACTCAGGGCCGGACAAGCAGCGAATGATCACCCTCCGCAACAAAATCACTGATGCTGGAGCCATGAGGTCCACTCTGTCAGCATCAGGATATTGTTGCAGGGAATGAACAGCAGCGATAGTCTCCAGGGTCTGAGGGAAGGGGGGGGGGGGGGGGGAGGGGGGGGTGGTGGTTTAGCTGGGGGAGGCATTAGGGAAGAAGAAATAGGCTTCCAGCTTGAGAAAGTGTTGCTGCCAGCTGTAATATTGCGACCAGAAGGCACAAAGTGGAAAAAAAAACAAGAGTAGAGAAAAAGCAACCATGTAAAAAAAGAGACAAAAGCAGTCATTAGGCTCAAATTAAGAGAAGGAGAATAAACCTTTGAAAATCATCAATTTTTATCCTAAATTCAATTAGCAAAACAGTGTTAACTTTGCAAAGTCTCCTAACCTGGCTTGTCGTACAGAGCAGGGATATCATGGCCATAAAAGGGAAGTTGTGCAGATGCTGGGAATCTGAGACAAAGTCAGAGAATGCTGGGGAATCTCAGCAGGTCTGGCAGCAGAGAGAAACAAGAGTTAACATTGCGAGTCTGGTACGAAGATCTTCCTCAGAACTCCTGAAGAATGATCATTTCTGATCACAAATATTGACTTTGTTTCTCTCTCTGCAACTGCATCTGCTGTGTTTCTCCAGCATTTTTTGTCTTTATCATATAAGTGTGTCCATGGATCAGTCACTTCAACTGGATTAGATCAGGCTGGGTCACCTGAATCCTGCTTGATTATTTCTTCATATGCCTTGCTTTTTTTTTAAAGCTGTGTTACTTGCATCCATCTAAATTATCAAAAGAAAGGTTTAAAGCATTGGCACTAGAAAAGGATGGGTGTTCAATTTGTAATTGAGATTTGATGTTTTGAATGACTCAAATCATTTGGAATTTACCCAGCCATGTACAAAAATATTATGCATTCTAAGTTTCAGAAAGGCACTCTGTTTTCAACAGAGATGTGGAAAAGCACTGGGCTAGGTGTCTTCAGCTCTGCAGTGGTCCCTGCAGATGTTACAACGATAAAACAGAAAATATCACCAGGAAATGTATCTACAGTGGCACTAACATCATTGCTATCCACTTTGATACTCTGCCCCTGTTACAGTGATTAGGTGAAACTACCAGAGTGAAATACCAGCTGCTTAATTCTTAAGAGATTTCTCAAAATATTCTATCCACATAACATTCACTCTCTTAACACATCATGGCTTACTCTCCTGGATGGTTAAAGTCCTATATTGTGCTGAGTGCTTGCTGGTTTCTTTATAATTTCCCAAACCTTAATCAAGAAATTAACTTAAAGAGCTAAATAAAAAAAAAGATGAATTCTCAAAATGCTGTTAAAATTCAATTTAAATTTTCACTTCAGAAGGACAGTGGATATTTGCAGTCTTACAGAGCACAGACAGTTGCTTACCTGTGTATATAATTATGTTTGTGTAAATACTGTAGGCCTGATGTGATCTCGCAAGCCATTCGCTGTAGGGTTGAAGGATCAGGGGCCAATTCATCAGCTGCATTATGAGTTCTCAGATAACCCTTTAAGTCACCCTTGAAAACACAGCAGTAAAAAGCAAATATTAATCTACAGGTTTAGTATAATCTGCTTTGCTGGGTCTATTGTAGCAGTTGAAAATAAGCAGTGAATATCAGAAAGGTGAAATATTGATGCCTCTTGTTTCATCTGCAGCTTATGCAATTGTTAATGGTTAGCATGAAGCTTCATGTTTAACGCTGGAAGTCGGGGAGAAGTGGTTTGCAGTGGAGAGGCGATGAACATCCTGAGAGGTTGACAATAATCGTATACCTCTTTTGCATTTTCCTTCCAACTGTTCCCAAGGCCCAGGCAGACCAACCGGTCATCAGAAGACCCTAGGTATAAACTCTACAACAATGTACCACTTTGCTTGGGCATCCCATTAGGTGTAGAGAAAAGAAAGTGAGGCAGGAGACTGATAACACCCATCTGTCGCCTCCTAAGTAAATTTCTTGGAATTTTGGAAATATAAACCACAAGTAGAGGCAGAGACCTGATTCAATAGGTCTTTCCACTGCTGTCTATCACCTTCACTGCTCCCACATTCTCCATAGAGAAGGACCGTGTGCCAATGACACAATATGAGACCACACTGATAATGTGACTGGTATCTTTGCATGGATGATACTTGCATTTCTCTAGTGCCTTACACATCCTCAGGATGTCCCCAAAGTTTGCAGCTGACAGAGGACTTCCGGAGGATAGTCACAGTTACAATTGCAGGAAATGCAGCAGCCTATTTTCACACAGCAAGCTTGCACAAACAGCAATGTGATAATGACCAGATTATCGGTGTTTGGTGATTTTGATTCAGGAATGGATATTGGATGGAATGCTGAGGATAGCGTCTCTGTTCCACTTTGAAATGGTCACCACGGGATCCACTTGAGAGACAAAATGTTCCCTCAATTTAATGCTCCACCTGAAAGATGGCACCTCCAGGCATACTGCACTCCCTCAGTACTGCACTTCAGTGCCAGTCTAGATTAGGTTTTTGAGTCTTTAGAATGCATTAAATGCATAACCTTCCGATTCAGAAGCGTGAGCTAACCAATGAGCCACAAAAGAGGGACATTAAAAAAAAATGTGGGGAGAGTCTGGTTCAGTGAGGGGGTGAGAAAAACTCCAATGATGCTTTTGCAATCTCTTGCAATCATGTACACAGCAGAATGCATCGTTTTTGCGGCAAAGTTATTACTTTCAATGATTGAAGAATGTCTTGTGATTGAATGTCTGGTACAGAGGTGTCAGTCTCCTCTGGATGGTGGCACGCTTATCTGTAATGCAGATAGTTGTGGGTTCAAGTCCCACTTTAGTAACCAAAACTCAAATCTAGACCAACACAGCAGTGCAGCCTTCCTGCAACGCTGCACTATCAACAGGTTTCAATTGCTGTGGGAGTCTTTAAACGGAAGCACCTTTGGATGAATGTCAGATTTCACATGGCACCATTTAGGGAAGAGGAGGGGAGTTTCTAAGTTAACACTTACCCTCTCAATTCACTGAAAAGAGAAAGAACCTGGTGCTTTATCTCATTGCTGAGTAAGGGAACTTGCTGTGTATAAACTTGCACCAGGGTTTCTTCCTTTGCTTCACAATTCAAGTACTTAATTGGCTATAAAATGCTTTGGGATGCCTCACATTTTTGAAAGTTGATAAAATAAATGTACTTTTAATCTTGCCGACATTTTTTGACATTATTGGTATTCTTTCGTACAGTTTAAAGGACGTACATAAACTGAACATGTAAACTATAACAAAAAGCAAACTGCATGCAGTACTTTTCAACCATTGTAAGTAATATACCTAATGTAAGATTAATCTGTGCTGTAATACATAGAAATAACTGCAGCATGAGCAATCTACCATCCTTCCAACACCAGAGGCATAGTTTTAAACATTGGCTTATATCTTTAAAGCAATTCATATTTGAGTTCAGGAAAAACTCAATTAATTGCATATTACAATTAAAACTTTCACTCGCAATTTATAAATCAATTTTGCATTTTTTTTTATGGCATTCAGCTTCTCTATTTAACTAAGGGTTTTTGGCACTTTATGTCTGTGAATTTCAGTGCTTAACACACCAAAACATATTTCTGATTTAGAAATAACACAGTGTGGAGCTGGAGGAACACAGTAGGCCAGGCAGCATCAGAGGAGCAGGAAAGTTGACGTTTCAGGGCGGGACCCATTTCTGAAGTAGGGTCCTGACCCAAAACGTCAGCCCATTTCTGAAGAAGGGTCCTGACCTGAAATGTCAACTTCCCTGCTCCTCTGATGCTGCCTGGCCTGCTGTGTTCCTCCAGCTCCACACTGTGTTATCCCTAACTCCAGCATTGGCAGTTCTTACTATCTCTGATATTTCTGATTTATTTTTATTTGGATCGGAAATGACAAGATCTAACCACCAGGAGGCACAGGATATCCAGATTGACATCTTCATCCCTATGGTCATGGCATGTGTAATACGAATCATCAGAGAATCGCTGCAGTGCAGAAGGAGGCCAATCATACTGTCTGTACTGGCTTTCCAAATGAACATTATGACTTAGTGCCAAACTCCTGCCTTTTCCCCATAACCCTCTACATTTTTTCTATCCAAATAAGCATCCACTGCCCACTTGAGTGTCTCAATTGAAGCTGCCTCCACCACACTTCTAGGCATTGCATTCCAGACCCCAATTACTTACTAACTCACCCAGTCTCACTGAGGCCAAATGTGTCTGTTTTACTGTCATCATTTGCTCAGCACGGGCTGTGGTGAAATTCACATGGTTCTGACGTGCAACATTTGGTTGAGCCAAAGGGAGGGAGAGAAGGAAATTCAATGTGATCAAGCCCTGATTGAACAATTTTGATTCAACAAGCTGTTTGATTGTCAGGCTATCAAATAAGTTTGTCTGAATTTACTGGAGGCAGTCAATCTGCTCAACAGACTAGAAGTTTAGTACGTTAGGACTGAAGGACTGTTGACATGGCAAACTAATTGGTTGCAACAAATTACACTGGTTAGTTATCCACCAATACTTAAACACAAGCTCAATAAGTACTGAAGCAGTCAGTCGGAATGCACCTGTAGAGAAGCTGTTCCTTTGGTGCAGATTAAAAGAACAAATTGCAAATGTTGGAATTGCAAAGCACGTTGCTCAGAATCTGTAAGAAGAAAAGACACATCAGTGTTCACAATGGGAGATTCGATCAGGACTGACCTGATCAGAGATCCCACTCCAAACATGAACCTCTGACTCTGTTGTGCTTTTCCACCAAATTCAGCTTTTATTCCCCTCTGGGGGGACCAATGAGAATATACTTAGTATTGCCAATAAGTGCATTTCAAATGTCCCTGCATTTGTTTTAAAAACTTTAGCTTAAATATCCAATTGTCATAATGCGTTGAAGTCATGAGCTCTTCTGACACAGCAAGTAATGATGCTAAATATTTCTTTTATTGATAAAGTCAATTCAGTGTCATAATTAAATGGAAGTGATCAGAAAATTCAGTGTTTTCTTCAGGGACCTAAAGTGTGTTTACTCCACTGGAGATTACTAAAAGCATAAAATAAAACCTGTAGAACCTTATAATATGAGCACAGAACAAGACTAGCAGCATTTCGTCGCTCCAGATTATTATAATTGTGTTGATTATTGATCTCACCAGGTCAGCATGGTCAAATTGTGCAGGTCAAAATGCAGTGGCAACAAAGGTGTCCCTTGACAAGCAAATGTTGACTCGGTGAGTAGAGAAAGGAAGCTTTAAAGAGATGTTGATTTTTTTTTGTCTAACCTCTCTGAGCCTCAAAACAGCTCCCTGGAAACAATGTTGAATTGCAGTGGCAGCTGCTTGCTGTACAGTCCTTTTGCCTACAGTTCCCCTAAAAACATAACTATTATAATCCATCTTCCCCCATTGAGGCTCATAGAAAGTGAGGTCATGGGAGAGCTATAGCAAGTCTTACACTGTACAGCACTCAGGACGCTGCACTGTAAGGTGTGAAGTGCAGCTTCATATTCTCCCAGTATAAACATCTCCTTCTTTTTCTATGCAACGACATCTTACACCACGGCACACCATGGTGAGGGCAGCAAGAATGAGAAGGAAACAGAAAGGTCATGTCCCCTTTAAGGTTTATTCAGCCTGTTGGTGCTGTCCATCTCCCTAGAGCAGATATAGGCGGCAAAAACAGAAATGAATGATAACTCCCCACTTTCTTGTTTCCTTTAGCCAAAGGTAAGACCAATATTTCTCCACGGAGTTTGTTTCCGGCTTTAGCCTTTTATCTTGGCACATTTCAATGGATCGCTGTAGACATCCATTTCTAATGGTGTGGAATGGATAGGGAGAAGGAGGCTGGATACAGGGAGCCCCTGAAGAACAACTGGCCTACCATCCTTTTGGAAAATGTTGTCTCTCCAGTTGCTGAGCTGTCTTTCCATCTCCATGGACTATGCCACTAAAAATTCTGGAGAAATGAGGGTTTGGAGACTGATCACTGTTCTGCTTAATCAACAGATTTGTGCTGGGGATTGACACAGTATTTGATGTAATGTTTCCATTAAGCAATAAGTGTAGCAGCCCAAATCTAATTCCATGTTGGGATGATGGGTCAGAGAGGTAACCATGCAAGGTCCCATTACCAATCTGAAAATCTTTCCAACAGCGAATGAATTGATTATTGTGGCAGTGGATTGCCTCCTTATTCAATTGGCTGTAGTCTAGACAGAGGTCAGGATGTGCAGGAGAAGCTGGACATTATGATTGCTTTTCCTCTCTTGACCACAAACTGATTTCTGCTATTGATGTTTGATCTTTGAGGGAGAAACACCAATGAAGCCAAACGAGAATGTTATCAGCCCAGAGGAGCTCTTGCAATCCAAACATTGTTAGAACAATGACTGGTGTGTGAAGTAAATGAAAGGAGGAAAATTGGACTTTTTAGTATCTGCAGTATATATTAAAATGTTATGTTGGCTCCACTTACTCCAGTTGTCAAAATTTCTATTCACAGTTTTATCGTAATACACAGCATTTTAATTGGTTATAAAATCAGGTGAAGTAGGATATCTTTATCAAAAAGTGAGATTGTGGCTGAAATTTGGAGAGATATAGTGGGAGACAGTGTCTCCTCTTGCTCCATGTTTCTGTTCTTTAATACACCCTTATGTTTCTGACTATCAACAAGCAATGCGTTGGGAGGTCTAGGTGTGGATTCTAAAACAATTGAAGAAGGAAACTACCAACAGCTGTAGTAGTGGTCCACATCCGTGTTGGTCCTGTTAAACAGCCACTGTATGTGATGGTGCTGAGAGATCAGTCAACCACTGCTGTCAAATGCCTTGCAAGCTCTCAAGTTGCAGGATGGACTACAATGACAAGGCTATGGTGAAATACTCTCCGCTACTGAATGGCCAGAAGATGTCTGTACTCACCAGCTGACAGAATTCCATGACAAGGAGATAAGGCGTCACCTCTGTAAACTGAGCTAGGCACTGAAGCAGATTGGGATGCTGGAGGCTTCTGTGAAAAAAGAAATGACTGTGAAACATCAGTAAATTGATTATTCAAGCGCTAAGTCAGTGATTAGCGTTTTGGACACTAAGTCCTCCATGGCTTTCAGACACTGCACTCCCACTGATTTATTTGAGGTGCTCAATATTCTGAGTGTAATGAAGAATTGGAAAATGATGCTCTGAAGGTTGACACTTCAATCACTCTATTGATCAATCTGCTAAAAGAACATGCATGAAATTCAACAAAAGGTTTCAGGTTAACAACTTAAAAGCAATGGATAAAGAAGAACAATACAAAAGTTTAGGAAAAACAGCATGATTTTCTTCACAGTCTCTTTGTGTCCTCCCTCTGTTGCATTTCTTAGCATATGTACTTTAAGAAAGATGCAACTACATGGCATGAAATGGAGCTGCTTACATCTGTCTGTGAGATATCAGAAAACTGAGTAAATATCAATAAATGAAGTACAAATACTACTGACGATGCACGTCTGAAACAAAAATGCTAGACATACTTTGCTGGTCCGTCAGCATCTATGGAGAGAATAACAGTTAATGTTTCAGTTGCAGACCGTTTATTAGAATTGCTAGTGAGAAAGATCTAATTTTGAAATATTGGCATGACTTTTCCTCCTCAAAGCAGGAAGCGGATGTTGGGAAAATCCCTGGCTCAGTTCACTCAACTTGGGAGGAAATACGAGGAAAAGACAGAAGGCAGTCAGGCTGGTCAACCTGGGAAATGGTTAGAGGCAAGAAAAGTCCTCTAGCCCTAACCTCACACCTCTCACACCTCGCCACAGGCTTCCTGTGCCCCATCCAAACCATCTTATTCCTCTTCATCCATTTCTCCTGGCTGCTCTAGGTTCACTAGATTCATTCCAGAAATGAAAGGCTTATGCAATGAAGATAGATTGAGTAGTTCAGTTCTGTAGTCTCTAGAGTTTAGAAGGATGGGAGGAGATCCAATCGAGGTATGTATGATACATAAGGGGTCTGACAAAGTAGACATACAGCACAATCTTATGGCACAATCCAGAACGAGTAGTCATAATTTTAGGCTGAGGGTTGGCAGAATTAAAACAGAGATAAAGAGTAATTCCTTCTCCTAAAGGGTCATAAATTTATGGAATTCACTCCCCCAGAGTGCGGTGGAGATTGGGACCTTGAGTAAATTCAAGGAGGTGACAGAGAGTTTGTTAATTCGTGTCAGGTTGAAGGGTAATGGGGAGTGGGAATGGAAGTGGAGTTGAAGCTGACGTGAGATCAGCCATGATCATATCAAATGGTAGAGCAGCCCCGACGGGCTGAATTGCCCGCTCCTGCTCCTAGCTCTTACATTCTTGTTCAGGCCCTATGTCAACCTATGCTCCCCAGCCATCTTCCCAGCTCATTGCTCCCATGCCAGACTACAGAATTTCCAGGCCCATTCAACCACAGTATGGAAGTAAAATAACTCTATTCTAACAATAAAAGGTGTTAAAAACATTGATTAAATACTTCTACATCTTTAAAAAAAATGTCTTTTCACTAAAAGCTAATAAAATTGCTAATCATCCAGATTCTTTTGCACATGAACAGTAGAAACTGCCAGCGCTTGAAACCTCTTAATCTTGCGTAAATAAAATTGTAAAATTGACAGCAGAGATCAGAGCCAGACCTGCCAATCAAGCAGGGGCTCAGGTATTTCAACACAGTAATGGATGTCTGGGCTCTCAGCCAAGAATGCATGCTGAGGCATCAAACTCATCAGTCGCATGCCCTCCTCTGGTGCATTTCCATTGAGACAATGGCTAATCAGAATTTGGAGGGCCTGGATTGCTTTACAAACAGCTTAAATATAAAAAAAAGACTGTGAATCCAGTTATTATCCAGTGATACTCAAAACACTTAGAATTTTGTGAAGAAAATGGACAAAGATCCAGACTGACACTTCCGGGTATTATTAACAATTACCTGATGTTGACTTAGTCAGCCTCCTATCTCATGACATATTACATTATCATTTCTAAACTTCGAAAACCAGGAAGCCTCTATGGATATCAGGATCTTAACTATCCCTTAAATAATCTTGTTTGACAGTTCCTTCCCTATATTGCTTCCCACAATAAAATCAATCCCATTTACTTCAGTGACCTTATCTTGAACCCATATTTTCCACTTTGGAATTAAATGCAAAGGGCAGAAACACAGCTGTTTTCCACCTAGGAAGCCTCATCATAGTTTAATTTCTTTTGTATATTTGCTGGCTTTTTCCAAGGTAGTGCCTACAATTTGAATTTTGCTAAACTCTTCATAAAAAGCATTCTTGGGTCATCCTATGTAAATTCAAGTTTTTATTTGCCAGCGATCATCAATGTCTTTGATATGCAGGGCTCAAATTGAGAGGGATGTTGAATAATACAACACAGCACTGACTAGTAACAGGTCACCCAGCCATTGGGCAGGGCACTGGGAATGTTAATGTAAAAATAACCATGTCCCAAAATCCACAAACCTGAATGCCCTGGTCGACCCATTGTCTCCGCCTGCTCCTGCCCCACCGAACTGATCTCCAACTATCTCGACTCCATTTTCTCCCCCTTGGTCCAGGAACTCCCTACCTATGTCCGTGACACCACCCACGCCCTCCACCTCCTCCAGAACTTCCAATTCCCCGGTCCCCAACACCTCATCTTCACCATGGACGTCCAGTCCCTCTACACCTGCATTCCCCATGCAGATGGCCTTAAGGCCCTCCGCTTCTTCCTGTCCCGCAGGCCCGACCAGTCCCCCTCCACTGACACCCTCATCCGCTTAGCCGAACTCGTCCTCACACTCAACAACTTCTCTTTCAATTCCTCCCACTTCCTACAGACAAAGGGGGTAGCCATGGGTACCCGCATGGGCCCAAGCTACGCCTGCCTCTTTGTAGGTTACGTGGAACAATCCCTCTTCCGTACCTACACCGGCCCTAAACCCCACCTCTTCCTCCGTTACATTGATGACTGTATCGGCGC